CCCCGTCATCAAACATGCTCGCCCTTTCAGCCGTGAAGTCGTTATAATGTGGCGGCCAATCCCACTATTTGTTGGTAAAGAGTAGCCCAAGAGTTGACAGGGGCTGGTGTTAACTAGCTGCTTTTCCTCTAGTCTATCACTTCAAAATCAGAGAAGGCTAGCGCAGATAGCCCTCAAGTAGCTTTGCGCGAAATTCAACAAACAAACAAACAAAGCATGTATGATATATAATGTGAAGCCCCTTGCTACAGGTGGTTTTATTGTACTTTGAAAACGGTTCGTAAAGTATTACTTCTGCATGAACAATGTGGACTAAACAATGAGTTTGCAAGAATAAGTAGTGTGGCATGTGAAACATACCAGATTTTATGTTCACCTAAGATGTTCGAAACATTTTGCACATTTCTATAGATTTCACAATCGGGTACTGCTCGCGGTATACATCTGATTTATTAGCGAGTACCCGATTAACTATGACAATGAGTAACTAGAAAATCTACACATCCTTCAGTAGGTCTGTAACATTTCCTGATTGGCTAAAGGACATGCCAATCAGTGATTGCCTTACCGGTCTACGTTGATCTGACTTATTTTATAAGCCGTACTATTTCCTATAGATCATTTTCCAAACGGTTCTGCTATGATCAGTGCCTGGCGAAAAGCTTTTGCAGATATTTCCTTTGCAACATCTCAACCAACAATTGGTCCAGTTATCAACGCTATTTTCAAGTTGTGAACAACTCGACTTTCAAGATTTACGTATCTACATGTGCCGATGTTTCCATTTATCAACGTTATATTTTAAGATCTGTGCAAAAACTCAGCTAACAGATGTTTCCGCATATAAAAACGTTTTTAAACACAAATGTAACTGACATAGTTTAATAGTTTTACTCACCAAAAATAATAGTAGGGACACAAAAATAATTAACTTTCACACAGGGAGGGAGAGGAAGACTCAGTACTGGTACTGATGTCTGCCTTACCCAATAATTCATGATCATCATCTTCATAATCACCTTGATGTGGTGTAGGCTCAGCTCTTTTGACAAAGAATGCGTCGAGAGTTGTTTGCTGTTTCTGCTGCATCTTCTCCTTGTAGTAGTGCATGATGTCATTCTTCTCCTTGTAGTAGTGCATGATGTCATGTAGTCCTCTCGTAACTTTTAGGTTGAGTTCACGCCTGGGATCATTAGCACTAAGGATTTGCACCACTTCTACAAAGTCAAATGATTGGGATAAGTGGTTGGTAGTTAACTGAAGTTGTGTGGATGGTGTTTCAATAACATCCTCCTCTAATGAATCTCGATCTTGTTCCAACATTATCAGTTTCTCATTCAACATATCTTCTCAATGGGTCTTTAATAACTCAACTTCGATAATATCTTCAAAACCACCCTGTCTTGCAAGTGCCATAATGTCTTGGTGCACTTTCCCAGCACTCTCTGCTTGGGGGAACCCTGTTAAGTCGTTGGTACATTCTGGCCATACTTTTTTCCATACATCATACATAGTTGACTCCTTCACTTCATCCCACGACTTGGTGATGTTGCCTATTACATTCACAATGTTATATTTCTTCCAGAAATCACGAACTGTAGGCTTATCCTTTTCATCAGTAGCTTTAATCAGTTCTTTCAGAGTTCTATGTAAGTAATATCTCTTGAAATTGGAGATAACACCTTCATCCATTGGCTGGAGCCATGCAGTTCTGTTCTTGTGGATTTACTCAACTCTTACATCATCAGAATGATCATTCAAGTTCATAGGATGGTTTGGTACATTGTCTAAGATGACTAATGTTTTGTTGGCAATATTACGTTTGGCACAGTACTTTTCAACAGCAGAACAGAAAACATTGATGAACCAGTCTTGAAAAATACTTAGTCATCCAAGACTTCTTATTTGAGCGCCAAATCACTGGTAAATTAGGCTTGGCATATTCCTTTAAGGCCCTTGGAGTTTCGAAACTGGACACTAGTAAGGGCTTTAATTTAAAATCTCCAGCAGCGTTGAGTCAGACGATCTTTCGTAGCCTTGAATCCTGATTGGATCCTGATGCAGACTTCTCTTCCCTAAAAATAAATGTTCTATCTGGTATACGTTTCCAGAACAACCCCGATTCATCCACATTGAAGACTTATTCTGGATTGTAACCCCCTTCTACATCAGCACTGACAGTCTCACCTTTTAGTTTTATGTTGTGCAAGTTAATGTGCTTCCTGAACCTATCAAACCACCCTTTACTTGTCAGGAAGGTTTTTTTCTTCAGAACTACCACTACTACTTTGTGCAATCATCAAATCATCATACAAGCTTTTTGCCTTAGGTTGTATAACCATCTTGTTTAATGGCACATTATGTTAGATCTGGCCATCAATCCACACACTCAGTAGTCTCTCCGTATTAAACATCACTTCACTTTTATTAAAATACAATGTATGAGCACTTAGAGGTGTACCTACTTTAGTACTTGCCTTTATTTTCACGTATTGTTCCCACTGTAGAGGTTACAAGCCCTAAAGTTTTAGCAATAGAGCTAAGTTTCTCTCTGGCATCAAACTTCCTCAAAACATCAAGTTTCACATCCAAAGTAATTCCTTTCCATGCTCTCTTGGGTGTGCTACTTGTACTTGAATGCCTCTTTCCATGCTCTCTTGGATGTACTACTTGTACTTGAATGCCTCTTTCCATGCTCTCTTGGATGTACTACTTGTACTTAAATGCCTCTTTCCAGAAATCTTTAATAAGGGTAATACATTGCAGAGTCTTGAAAAACGATGCAAATAATAATTACGTGACCGTATGACGATCGTAACAAAAGCATTTGCTAATATGAACAAAGCGCGCCATCTACCTCACTGACGCTTGGAAATGTGAGCTGTATTTAAAAAAAAAAATGGATGTTTATTTTTTCCATTTTTTGTTTATTTACTGTTTACCTTTATTCAAAATTCCGTAAGGGCAAATTTACGGTTCGTAACCCGAATTTATTGGCCATGCTATATAATTTCCGCATGGGCGAAATTCCATAACCCGAACTCCCGTAACGCGAGGACAGGCTGTATTCAGACATACTTCTTGTTAGGCTTAACCATATGCCTACCCTGTTTTTTCCTGTATATAATTTATTGATACTTCGGAAAAGTAATTTTACACAAAGCAAAGAATGAGAGCTTGGAAAATAGTTGATACTAGAACTGAAGTATTAGAAAGATCGTAAAAGTTTCCTTAAAGTCCTTGAAAGGCATGAATCATCCAAGTGAATGAATACCATAAACAACATTGCTATACGGTGTAAAATTTTAGAAAAGTCTGTCCCAATACGAGGTTCAATACTTATGAAACTCAGAGAAAAGCACAAGATATCTAACATTATTTACTACAACATTACGGCAACAAACCTCGTTAACATTTTACTCACTTTCCACTCAAAACTCTGAAAGCTAAACACTTGATTTGGAATCGTATCAATTTCTAGTTTATCTTTCGCTTTGAGATAAAACTGTCGTCGAAACTGATTCAAAGATATTAATTGTCAATGCTTACCAACTTAAAAAATTATATTAAACATGACAAACATTTTAAACAATCAAAATATTTCAACAATATACTTATAAATGCCAAATCTTGAGCTTCAAATATTCAACATTATCTGATATAGAATCCGAAAAGTTAATTTTTTTCCACGTTTATCTTATCTCGTTATAAACATCAGGAGACTTTTCACACATTATCCTGAAACTGCAATTATTAGGTAGATATTATCATTAACTTCTGGTCAAAGCAAGTTGACTAAGTAAGATACAAGTAGAATGAAGTTAACAAAAACAAATTATTCATAAACTGTATAATTATCATGAGTAAAATGTAACATTCTGTTATAAAATATTCTTTGAGACAAATGTGCAATTACAAGAAAGTTACAAGTTTATTATCAAACCAATTGCAGCAATTTCAAACCGAGTTACCTAAAACCTCCACCAGATTAGCCAGTGCGACGCCATCTTGGAGATCTGTTCTAAGATCATTGACAAGACGAGAACCAGAACGTTTCTTCAGTTGTACGTTGATCCACGCTGTGTAGGCACGAAGCTGTGACTTAAAACAACAATATAAAAACTGTGTAGGTACGAAGTTGTGACTTATAACAACAACAATGGATAAGTTGTGACTTAAAATAACAGTATATAAACTGTGTTGGTACAAAGATGTGATTTAGAACAACAACAATAGATAAGTTGTGACTTAAAATTACAATAGTTAAGCTGTGTTGGAACGAAGTTATGACTTAAAACAACAACAGGTAATCTGTGTAGGCACAAAGTTGTGACTTAAAACAACAACAAACATGCGTAGGTACGACTTTGAATGAAAGCATTAAATCATGTGTTAAGAAGAAAGTGTCAGTTCCTAACGTAGAATAATTATAAAGATATCAAACAAATACGACAAATGGCGAGCTCCATTAAGTTACTCCATTTATTTTAATGGATATTACGTCATCATGTTTTGTTCAAACTACTTACTATGAATTTCCAATGGCTATTTTAACAAAATCTACAGCTGTTGATTTCGCATTTAGAAAAACCGACGTAAACAAAACTGTAGTAGTAGACAGTTTTTCTAAGACAATGTGAACGCTCATCATAAAAACAACGTAACAGTACCTAGTCTAAACACCGTTCTTAGATGGGTTTCCCCGACTGACGTGGAACGTGTATTCCTACATATGGAACTTTCTCTACTCGTTAATTCATTGTATTTCTATTAAAGAATTGGCACTACTCTACACAGATATCGCTAAATACGGTAATAAAAAAATCCGTGCTCTGTAATTCACATTCACATCGCCTTTCATAATTTCAGTAAAATGTATACTAAACTGGAACTTTGCCAAAATATTCACGCTTCAACGCGTATCCATACAATTACAAGTTATTTTAACCACACGTCCAGAACACATGAATACTCAACTGTGATGGGTTTTATATTATATACTTACTTATATTTCTGACAGAAAACATTATACTTACTATTAGCAAAGCCTTAGTTTATTGTTGGGCAAAACTGAATTCATACTTGCACGAATTACTAGAATTGGCTCTTTAGAAACTTTAGTAAAAAACATTCTTAGGCCTAAATCAGTGGTTTGATTGTACGAATCTTCAAGCGCAAAGTACGTGCTGTAACGGGTGACTAATTCTTTGTGTGGTGGTGCATGAATGTTTGTCTGTCTGTGACGTTGTTCACTCTGAAAAAAAGTTCGCTCACAGGTAGAGGATAATCCAGTAAAAGTTTGAAAAAAATCACGACCTTGAGAAAGATAACAAAACGATTAAAAACATTGGAATTATTCACTAGACAAGTTCTTAACTGCTTTGAAAGACTTTGTAACGTCTCTAAAATCAATTTCGAACACCATATCTAAAGTTATTTCTTAAGCGTTGAGCTTGTTTGTGTTTAAGTGCAAAACTACACACAGTGAACTGTGCTCACCACGGGTATCGAAACCCAATCTATAGAGTATAAACCCTCAAGCTTACCGCTGAACCACTGCGGACATACGTTGATATTTCCCCAAATGCCCGACGAGAAACATTTAACGTTTTGGAAAAGGTTTGTCCCTCAGTGTGAAAGTTAGGTTACTAATGTGATAATCTCAGGTACAGTGATTACCTTTAAAGTAAGGATGGTAACCACAGCTGGAGGAACAAGATGAAGAGACAAAATACAATGTACAATAAAGGGCAAATTAATCTTTATTTAACAATACATTAGGCACTTGCACAAAGACACATGACAGAACTGTTCTCTATAGAGTTCTGAATCAGATCAATCTCAAATCAACGTATTTTAGTGTTTTCTACAAATATCACTAAACGCACAACAAAGTTCACTTCGTTACAGAAACTATATATATATAAAAGTAGATAATTCAACAGCAACTAGTTCCATGAGAGAATTTAAGTGATTCCAATAGGAAATTAACTAATGCAATGAGTAACTAGAACGCTAATAAATCAGATGTATACCGCGAGCAGTACCCGATTAACTATGACAATGAGTAACTAGAACGCTAATAAATCAGATGTATACCGCGAGTAGTACCCTATTAACTATGACAATGAGTAACTAGAACGCTAATAAATCAGATGTATACCGTGAGCAGTACCCGATTAACTACGACAAAGAGTAACTAGAACGCTAATAAATCAGATGTATACCGTGAGCCTGTCCTTTGCCGCCAAAAAGAATTCCTATACTTTTATGTGTTTTAATAAAGATGTCTTCCAAAATACAGAGATGAAAGGTCGACCGACCATTTGCAATAATTTCAAACT